TGAGGCGCCGCGGTGGTGTAGGGGTTATGAGTTGGGCTGCTAGTGCAGGGTCTGCAGGTCACAGCGAGCGGGTGCTCTTACGGAGAAAGAGGAGGCTTTCCTCTGCTATGAAGAGCCTCCGTTCTGGAGAAGGGAGATGGCAGTCGGTGTGAGATCTGAAAACAGTAATAACTTATCATTTATCCAGGGGCCCTGAGGGAGGGCATGGGGAGGGAAGGGAAAAAGAGGTGCTGATACCAAGGCTCAATAGAAAGTAAATGTCTAGAGAAGAAGGATGGCAACATATGTACAAATATGCTTGATACAATGGATATATGGATTGTTGTAAGAGCTGTCAGAGCCCCCAATCAAATCTTTTAATTAAGAAAAACCTAGAGTTCCAGTCTTGGAAATTCCTACCCTGTCGTTGAGGGTCCCTGTGAGTCGGTATGGGCTCGATGGCAGAGAGTCTGATTGGTGAGAGAGCTCAACAAACCTGCAGGGCTTCGGCTTGCTGGGTCTGTGCTGAGACTAAACCTAGAATTTAAGAGACGCTAAAGCCCACAGCCACGGCCCTTCTTCCGGCGTATCTCCGAATAGGCTGGGCCCATGTGTCCCTCTCCTATTGGATGGTAGGGGCCTGAGCATGGCTCTTTTCCGACAGGAGCCTCCCTGGGCCACCAGGAGCAATGCCACATGCTGCCACGTCCTGGTGCCCTTGATTAGAATGCAGCCTCGCCCCCATGGGCCCCGTGTCCATCAGCCCACGTGCCTGTCTGTCTGTCTGTCTGTCTGGCAGAGGAAGTATGACCTGCAGTACCGTGTCGCCCTCGTTATCAACTACCTGGGCCACTGCGTGTCCCTCGCCGCCCTTGTGGCCGCCTTCCTGCTCTTCTTGGCCCTGCGGTGAGTGGGCCCCACTTCACTCCTGTGCCTCCCCGCTCTGAACCTCTCCCAGCAGTTCTCGCCTCCACTGCGGGGCCTGGGCTACAAACCAAGGGGTCGGGGCTGAGGGCAGCTGGGTGCTGCGTGGTCACGGTAGAAACTTGGCTCCCCAGGGCAGCCCTGCCCTCACCCTAGGCAAAGTCACCACCTTGGCCTTAGCGGGAGCCCAGTCCCAGCTGACCCCTGACTTGGGCCTCCCTCGCGCAGGAGTGTCCACTGTCTGCGGAACGTGATTCACTGGAACCTCATCACCACGTTTATCCTGCGCAACGTCACGTGGTTCCTGCTGCAGCTCATCGACCACGACGTTCACGAGAGCAACGAGGTGTCTGGGTGGCGAGCCGGGGCTGGGCCAGGGGGTGCTTCAGGCTCGGGCTGTGGGGAGGGCACCTCTCTGCCCAGTCCCGAGGGGCAAAAGTGTCCGACCCAGCCAGACGCTGACAGGCTGGGGTCTCGGTCTGGGCCCGGTCCTCTCCTCACCTGGTCAGCTCAGGTCCCTTGGAAGGAGCTTCCTAGTTCAGAATAAGGTGGCTGGGGCTCACCTCCTCTGGCTTCATGTCCACGCTGTCCCAACAAGAGGCCCCTGGAGATGGCTGTTGTAGTGTGGTGCAGTGGAGTTGGTTCCGACTACTCGAGAGAAGGAGACACCGCCCGGTCCCGCGTCATGCTCACAATTGTTGTTCTGTTAGAGCCCAGTGTTGCAGCCGCTGTGTTGGTCCATCCTGTCGGGCCTTCCTCCTGTCTGCTGTCCCTCGGCTTCCCCAGGCATGATGTCCTTCTCCAGGGACTGCTCTCTCCTGACCACGTGCCCCCAGTATGTGGGACTGACAAATGCAGGGAGCATTTTCCCTGCTGTCCAGACATGGATATTGAGGCTGGAGTCATTTGTCAAGGTCACATACCCTGTTAGGACACCTGTCTATGGATGCCAGGGGCTCAAGCACATGCTAGCTGTCCAGCCAGGGTTTGTGTCAACTGCCCCTCCACAGCTGTATCCAAGGCCATGTATAACTGGAGACAGACTGACCCGGCCCCCGACCCCTCAGGCAGATATACCTTGTACTGTGCAGGCACCAGCCCTGACCTGTACTTAGCCCTAAGCTGAGCCCTGCCTTAATACCCAACCAACATTGGCTGTCCTGCTAGCTAAACTCGGAGAAAAGGCAAGGTTATGGGGAACAGGTCCTGGGTTCCTCCACCTCAGTGGGGCCTTCTCAGAGCAAAGGAGGCTGACAGCTGGGCTGGGACCATGGGGGGAAGTCCCTCAGTCTAGGAGGACTGCCATGGCTAGGGGAGTGGACCAAGGTGGGCGCCATCCACAGGGCCAGCAAGCCCCACCACCACCACCACCACAGGGCTCCTGTGGCCCCAGCTGGTGCCAGCATCCCCCACGTGCGGGGCTCCTCAGCTCTGCAGGTGCCCTGGGAGGGACCTCTAAGACAGGTGAGTAGGTGGCAATCATCGCTCTGGCCTGCAGGCCTAGGGGCTGCACGCTAGCTGACTCGGTCACCATGGGCAGGTGTTTCTGCCTCCCATAACTCGGGCTGTGTCATCCCACTTAGGGACGAGGCTCAGAGACACCTGCCCCCCAGCCCCTCCCCCCTCCCCCCTGCCACGGCTGGAGACTTTCACAGGTGGCCATCCTCGTGCTCCTGCGTTTCCCTGTGCAGTGGGGTGGGGGGAGGGCACTACTGCCTCCCCCCAGTGCAGTGAGGTGCCTGGGGGGTGGAGGAGTGGTGATTGGCCAGAGGCCCTGGGCTCCTGTGTCCCCAGGAGTGAGCCCACCGCCTCCTCCCCAATCTCCCAGCCCAGAGTCCTTGGCAAGCTGGCCCACGCCCACAGCCCCGCCTTCCCAGATCTGGGACCCCTGGTTACTTAGCTGTTTCCTTCTAATGGACTCACCTTGTTTTTGTTTTCTTTCTCTAAATGCAATTTCATACCCATCTCTAAGTGGAGCCCCGGCCACTCTTGTGGACGGGAGGATGCCCTTCAGCAGATGGCAGTGGAAATCGCAGTGTGATCTGCTTCCAGCCCTGGCCTGCGGATGGCTAGAAGCTGGAGATGCTGCCCCCTCCCCACCCCACTCCCTCCCAGGAGAAGCAGGCTTGGGAAGGTGATAGGGAGGTGGACGCACTCATGGAGCCTGGCTCCTGGACTCAGCCGGGCAGCTTGGAGCTGAATGAGGAGAGACGGCCCTTCTCTGATGGGCCTTACAGCAGGGTCCATGAGGGACGGATATGACCACGCTCTCTCTGTCCGTGTCCCATGCTTGGGATGCCCTGGGCCTGGCTCTCTCCCTAGGTGGGAATGGCCTTGACCTTCCCCAGGAGGTCCACTGACCACCCCGTCCGCCCTCAGGTCTGGTGTCGCTGCATCACGACGATCTTCAACTACTTCGTGACGACCAACTTCTTTTGGATGTTTGTGGAGGGCTGCTACCTGCACACGGCCATCGTCCTGACCTACTCCACGGAGCACCTGCGCAAGTGGCTCTTCCTCTTCGTCGGATGGTGTGAGGGTCCCTGGGGGGCTGGCACTTGGGAGGGCGTTGGCAAGGTCATCTTCTCGTCACCCTGGGGTCCCAGGGCCAGACCGCCACCCTGCTTACACCCCCAGGGACCCAGCTACTTCCCTCCATGCCAAGCAAGGAAACCACAAGCCCCCAGCAACTAACCGATAATTCCGCCGAGTGGAGAGTCCTCCAACGGCCCTCCCGCCCCTGGACCCTGACCACCGGAGCTGTGGCTTCAGAAGAGAAGCCAGCCAGCCTCCCCTCCCCCCACCCCCCTTCTCTGACTTCCTGGGAGGAAATGGCTAAGAGTCAGGGGGAGGGGAGCACAGATCTAGGGGGAGAGACCCCACCCCCACCCCAGGCCATGGAGGACCTGCATTTGGAAGATCCGACCTATGTTCTGCAAGAGGGTTCTCCGCGTGTCTGTCCACTGCAGCCTGTCTGTCCTTTCAGGCATCCCGTGCCCCGTCATCATCGTCTGGGCCCTCGGAAAACTCTACTATGAGAATGAACAGTAAGTGGGACCAGGCAGCCACGGGCAGGGTCACCAGGAGCTTCAGTCACGCCATGGCGTGGGAACTGGAGTCAGTCCAGTTGGGTCCACTCCCTCTGGTTCCAGAAGGCAGAGCCTTCGTTCAGTGTAATGGAGAACGGAGGGCAAAACACCTGCATGGTGGGCCTGCCATGGATTGTTGAACAAAGGCGCGGGGGCCCTTCAGAGCCCCAAGGGCGGGAGCCCTGACCTTGGGTCTATCAAGCTTCTCCTCGGAGGTGGATGTGACTGCTGTGGGCTGAGGTCTGCACTGAATCTACCAACGGGTGGAACGGGGCTGGGACAGAGAGAGGGGACAGCAGACCCCCACTCCCACCCCAGCCGGACTCAGAGCTGTATCCACAAGCACTCCCCAGAGTAGGGGAAGTCTCTGCGTCCTGGGAGGCGGTGGCGGCTCCTGGGACTTGGACACAGGTGTCAGGAATCAGTCAGCCAGGGAGCAGCTGGGCGTCTGCGTGCCTCCTGCTGGGAGAAGAAGGGACTGGGAGCGTCATTCTCTGTGAAGATCTCCAAGGGGTCTCAGAGCTGCTGAAGGCGGGTGGGAAGAGGAGAAATGAGGATGGAGTCATCAGAGGACGGACTCATGGGGTCACAAAGGTGCCGGGAATCAAAGGACTCCCTTGAGAGGCAGTGCGCTTCCTGTTCAAAGGGAGAGCTCAAACACCGCAGCTCTCGAGGCACTGGCCGACAGCAGAGGGGACTCTTGTCTGAGCCTAACCTCCGAGGTTGCTGGCAGCACACTGTCTGGAAGTGGATGGGACCTTTCCTGAGGTGCAGTAGAGAGCTGTGAAGGAGCCAGTCTGGCTCCTGGCTCCTGGCTCCTGGCTCCTGGGTCCTGGCTCCTGGCTCCTGGCTCTGCCCTTCCCTCTGGCCCTGAAGCCCCCTCCCCACCCACCCGCCAGCCAGCATCCCTGGAGAATACACCACGCCTTAGCAGCTAACTAAGGCAGCCGCCTCCTCGTCTGCTAGCATTGTGAGTGCCTGGCATGTGGAACAGTGGGCTCCAAGCATCGCAGGAGCAGGGCCAAGGGCCCCCGAGAGAGGGCGGCCCTCCCCTCAGGCACGCATGGGAAGCTGCACGCCAACTCTGCGCCCACCCAACAGTCCAGGTTGGCTCAGAGCCCAAGCAGGAGAAGGCGACTCAGGGCCTGCCCTCAGGGAGCCCTGAGCTGGCAGGGAGACCAAACCCATCATATAGGGCAAAGGGAGCCAATGGGAGCCAAGGTGGGCCCTGGGGTAGCAGTGGCCCTGAGGTTGGGTCTTAGGAAGAGCCACCACACCAGAGCTGGGGACCCCCTCAGCCACTCTGTCTTCACAGGTGCTGGTTTGGCAAGGAGCCCGGAGACCTGGTGGACTATATCTACCAAGGCCCCATCATCCTGGTGCTCCTGGTAGGTCCCAGGGGCTGCTGGGCTGGGGCAGACTGGGGCCACTGTCTGCACACTGGCCACACACCACAGACACCACCCTGTTCTAGTTCATTTCCAACACTCCATCCCCAATCTCCGGGCCTGGGGCTGCCTGCTTCCCAGTTTGGGCCTCAGTCATCCCTCTGGTCCTGGAAGGGGTCTCACCTGTAGGTTACTAGTGCAATGCCAAGTGTGCCAGGCAAGGGAGCAACGGGTGTCAGAGACTGATGCCGGGCTTCTTTCCCACCCCTAGCGACCCTTCTCCAACCGTTCTGGGGAGCCCAGCCCACCGCCCCCAGCCTGGAGCATCAGCTACCAAAAGGAGCTGTAATGAGTGAATTGTTCCCCTTCCAACTCCCCGCCCTCTGCCAAACGTATTCACATCCAAGATATAATTGCTTCCCCCTCTTTAATCTACAACTGGAGCTTTAATTAAGGTAGCGTGTAAGCAGAGGGCTGCATTCTGCACAAAGCGAACTCATTCTATATCATGCACTTAAAAAAAATAAGACATACAAAAAGCCCCCTAAGGAATTGGCATTTGCGTAAGACTTATTTCAGGCTCGGTAATTTCAGGCTATTGTGTGTACGGCTTCCTTAAAGGGCCACAGCCCCTTGCTGAAGACATACCTGTGCCACCTCCTCCTGCACCTCCCTGCCTGAGGGACAAGGAGGTACTTCCGTCTACCTTGGAGACAAACGTGATTCATCTTTTGTATTCCTTGACGTTCCCTCCTATTTTCGTGATTTTTCCCCCCTGGGTTCCTGTGACCTCTGTGTTACGGTGTCTCTGGTGCAGGCCACCTGGAGAGGGCCTTGCAGGTGTTTAAGTAAAGAATCAGCCACCAGGACTTCATTCATGGAGACCCACCAGTCAGTGGGGGCGGGGACTGTCTGGGGCTCCATGCGGCAGAGTCGCCCACCCCTCTCTGTGAGAAGGGAACCCCACCCCCACCCCAGGCTGCATTTCTTCAAAGCCAGCTGCCTAAGGAGGGCCTGTCTTGGAGGCACAGGGCTTCGGTGTGCCTGGGACGCAGCCCAGGAGTCTCCTGGCTCAGGTAGAGTTTCTCCGGGCCACACCCCAGCTGCGCTTTCCTGATGCAGCATCCGAGACCCTGCTGTTGCTGCTAGCCATCTAGGTGGGCCTGGAGCCTGTATGTGTGGCAAGCACCCAGGCGCCTCTGAGGTGCACATTCTAGCTGGGGAACCACACATCCAGGGGGCCCTGGACATGGCCCGTGGTGTGTCCAGCGGGCTCCCAGCACAGCAAGGCTCCGGGTCTGGGCCTTGAGCAGGCACCATCTGTCTAGAAAACATCAGCAGGCAGGGAAAGCTTGAGTCCCTCCGGAGGTGGTGTGGAGCGGACTGGTCACTGAGATTCTGATGTACCCTGACTCTGGATTGTGGGGCTCCCTGAGGACGAGGCAGCAGACTCCCCAAACCCATGGGGAAGGCATGGGACTGAGCCTGGGGAAGGGCAGTAGAGAGAGGGGAGGGGCTCACGGGAATACTCACATTGACCCAGAGCCCAGAGTGGAGGACAGCAGGAGGATCTGGGACCTCCACTCTCCACCGGGTTTAAAAGGAGTTCTGCCCATAGCCAAGTAGGGGCAGGAGAGCCTGGACACCCCGCCCTTCTCCCCTCTGCTGAGATTGTGTAGACAGTAGGTTGGAGAGACACAAGGGGTGAGCGGCATCCTGTGGGCACTGGAGTTTAGCAAACACCTCAGAAGAGGTGGAGGGTGGTCTGGGGTGATGGCGCACCAGCTAGCAGGGGGCTTCCATTCACCCCTGCGGGACCCCCTGTCATGTATGCCGTGGGCCGATCAATGATTGGAGCCCTCTGGGCTCTGTGGTTTGATCTCAGGTGAACTCTTCATGCCCATGGAGCCTCGTTTTCCCACCTGTAGTGTGAGGAGGCCCATCTCTGCCTCATGGGTTACTGGGAGGACTAGTAGGATCTGCTGGTGCCAAGTTTGTGCACTTGGTTGTTCATAAAAAGGTTGCAGGCTGGGGCATCCCCCCTCCCCTCCCAGGAGCACCTAGGAATTAAGGTCTGGCAATCTACTGCCAAAGCATCAGCCATCACAAAACCCTGCTGCGCTCAGCTCTGCTCTAAGATGTTTGAGGTCGAGCTGCGTCAGACTCAGACCCAAAGGCAACTGGAGGCGGGGCCCAGGGCACGGTGCTGGGTGGCCCCAAGTGTCAGACCCCAGCAATTCCCTCTGGAGCCCCAGGCAGGTGAGCCCCTCTGGTAATCTGCTCAATGCTGTCCTGAGCTCAGACTAACCCTGGGGCCGGGACATGTGTCCTTTTGTTCCTTCCGGCCCCATCTGGTTCCATTAACTCTGGTGGGAATGGCAATGTGGATGAGGCGAAGGGCAAACCCCAACACCAACCCCCACTCAATCTGTGGCTGTGGACAAGTTATAGCCTCTCTTTTCCTTTTTTATTAAAAGATCCTTTTATTGTAGGCTCCTACAGCTCTTACAACAATCCATCCATCCGTTGCATCAAGCATATTTGTATATATGTCGCCATCATTATTTTCTAGACATTTACTTTTATTGAGCCCTTGGAATCAGCTCCTTCTCTCCCCCCACCCCATGACTCCTTGATAAATTATAAATTATTATTACTTTCTTTCATGGTTATAGCCCTCTTTGACCCTCGGTATGGGTCTCTGGAGAATCGGGCTAGTAATAAGACTACAGCTTGTAACTATCTGAAACAAGCCCTGGCGTGGCCCTGTAAGCCCAAGCTGTTATTCTTGGGACTCTCATCTACCTGTCCTGGAGCAATGGTACCATGCCCCAGGCCAAGGACACTGAAGGGCTGGGCTCTGAGCAGGCTCCAGCTCCCACCCCAAGGGGAGAGCCTCAGGAGGGTGAAGCCGGCCCCTGAGGAAGTGGAAGATCAGCAGGAGACTGGGCAGGCCGGCCACTGCACTGCTATGGCTGCAGGGAACTTGGCCTCACCTGTGTACTGCACCCCCACCACCCTGCTCTGCTGCCAGGGCCCCACCACCTGTAGGCTCTCCTAAGAACCTGCCAGGGGCCCTGAGGGGCTTGTTCTAGAAGGTGATTTTACACTGTGACTCCCAGTCTGCCCCCCCCCACCACACACACACACACTCTCTAGCAGGTACTTGGTCTTTACTCTTTATTACATAGGCAGCCATCAGGCCGGACTTCTTCGCATTGCAGGGATTCCTCTGGGGGCCTCTTCTCAGCTTGGAATGCTCTCCAAACACGGTCCACCAACTAACACCCCCTGTCCTTTGAGTCTCAGCTCTAGTGCCATTCCTCCAGGGCTTCCAGAGCCCTCAGGGAAGGGGCAGTGTCCCTCCAGGAATGCTATTGTCCCATTCTCTGTCTCTCAGCCAGCTCAGAGCCTGGCACATGGTAACAGAACAGAATCCATTCATGGGGGGGACGCATGAGAACAACCGGACATTTGGCTGGACAAAGTGAGGTGGAATAGCCAACGCTGGGTTTGGGGCTGATGGGGAAGGGTGGGGGGAGCCAGAGAGCTGAGTCAAGGTGGGCTGTGTGGTCAGAGGCTCTCTAGAGGACAGGGAGGTGTCTGGGGCTGGGCGGTGTGAAGGGGCAGCCAGGGACCAGGCTGTGCAGATCATGCTGCTGCAAGGGCTGGAGGCAGCATTACAGCATCTTCCAGGACAGGAGATAAGGCCTTATCTTCCAGACCCTCCCCTCTAGCCCCTGCCAGCCGGAGTGGTCTGTCCATCCCTCCCTACGCTGTGCCCTTCCAGGAGGTGCTCAGTAACTAGCAGGTGGGTGTTGGGTGTTGAATGAATGAGTGTGTGCGTGGTGGCTGAGTGGACAAGTGCATGGAAGAAAGGATGGCTGAGTGGATGTTTGGGTGGAAGATGCTGGAATCAGTTGGTGGTTGGACTGATGGAAGATGGGTGAGGGGCTTTCGTGAAAGGAAAGGGAGCAGAAAGAATAGATTCTGACTCTGGAACGCAGCCTCTCCTCCCATTGTAGGAGGAAATTAGCATTGATCTATGTGTTGAGGTGACCCTGGGATCCGCGGAAATAGACAAGAAATGGAATGAGCCAGACTTCAAGGAAAGCCGAGGGAGTGGGCCTCTCTGAAGGCTCCCACACCCCCACCCCACCCTGGCTCCCTGGGCCCTACACTGTGTGTCCCAAGAGCAGCAGGCTGGGGCCGCGGAGGGAGTCGGGTCTTCTGCTGCCCTCAGAGACCACGGGGATAACCCACCCACAATGCTTATCTGTGCCTCCTGACTCCCCGTGGGGACCCTTGGGCGTAGGTAGGTCCAGCCCAAGCATAAGCGCACTGAGTTCTCTAGATAGGCCCTAGATAGTTCTCTGGATAGATGGGTTCTCTAGATAGGGAGGTGTGTGCACGTGCAGGTGCGTGTGCACACAGGAGCCAGCACACATCCGGGCTGATGTGTAGCCTCCGCTGTCCCCGGGCACTTGCTCAGTGTATGCTGCCCACGTGCCGTCCCCTCCCTGCCCGCTCACACGTAGAGTGAAAGGCCAGCAGGCACCCGCCGGCGCCACTGATGCACACACATGAGCATTTACAGGGTAGGGGGATGCGCGGAGGGAGCACCAGCACACAGCTCTGTTCCCACAGACCCCGGCACATGCTCGCAGAATCACGCAGGCAGCCCCGCAGAGACCCTGCCTGAGAGCCTGGGGAGAGAGAGGCAGGATGGGAACCGTGTGAATTCTGGGGACAGCTCCAGATAAAGATAAATGAGGCCTGTCCCGGTCCTCAAAGTCAGCCCAGTGGCCCATTTGTCACCATTGCCTCTGGGGTGTCTGTGGAGGCGCTGGGGTTTTCCTGGGACTGGGAAAGGGCCGATTAATCACTTGCTTTGCTGCTGAGTTATGGATCACACCCTCAGGGCCAGCGCCTCAAAGGTCCTCCATCAACAGATGGGCATCCCGAGGCTGAGGGCCCAGCCCCTGCGCAGTCCCCAAGTGGGGCAGGAGCCTGGGGACATTCTGAGGAAGAAGAGGTCTTTGTGATAGTATTCACTTACTGCCCTGGGGACATAGTTGTTAGTGCAGCTGCAATCCCCAAGGTCCGAAGTTCAAAACCACCAGCTGTTCCAATGGAGAAAGACAGGGCTTTCCACTCCTGTAAAGTCACAGCCTTGGAAACCCCCAGGGGCAGTTCTACCCTGTCCTACAGGGTCGCTATGGGAGCCCTCAGGTGACAAGGTGAGGGAGGAGGGGCTGGGTGCCCAGCGGGAAGTCTGCATGGGGTGTATGGGGTGTGCCTTTCCAGGGACTCCAGGGGGCGGGGGGAACTGCCTCTCAGCCCTAACTAGTGGTCCTTTTCCCCTCTCCAGATCAACTTTGTGTTTCTATTCAACATCGTGAGGATCTTAATGACAAAATTACGAGCGTCCACCACCTCCGAGACGATGCAGTACAGGTGAGTGCAAGGGTGCCTTCACCTAGGGCAGAGAGGACATGAGGCCGCCGGGCTGCCCCCCACCTCCAGCCCCCAGCGCCCTCAGGCTCCCAGCAGGGCCTTGGCTTCAGCGCCTCCTGGTCTCCCACCGGCACAAGGCTCCTTGGTAGCATGGCTCCATCCAATCTGACTCGTCCCCAACTCCCCCACCCCCCTAGGAAGGCCGTGAAGGCCACCCTGGTTCTTCTGCCACTGCTGGGCATCACCTACGTGCTCTTCTTCGTCAACCCCGGGGAGGATGACCTGTCGCAGATCGTGTTCATCTATTTCAACTCTTTCCTTCAGTCCTTCCAGGTGGGTGGGTGGGTGGGCAGGTCCGGAGCCACGCCCAGCCTCACCATGTGCCCAGCCTTCCTGAGTGGGTCCTCAGCCCTCCTGAAGAGCCCCCAGTGGAGTGAGTGCCTGCTGCAGGGGGAGTTGCTCACCCTGACCCTCCTGTTCCCCACTCCATGCCCTGCCCCCACCCTCCCCAGGCAGGACAGTACCCAGGCTGGCCCCTGACCACTCCCCCGTCCCTTCTAGGGCTTCTTTGTGTCCGTCTTCTACTGCTTCTTCAACGGTGAGGTAGGAGGCTGGGGGACCCCTGGAGGGCTGGGCAATCAAAGATCCCGCTCAGGACAGCTCCCATCCCCACACACCTGTCAGGGGTGCTGGGGTCCCTGGCCATGCCCAGCGTTGCCCCGCAAGGGCGAGCCGGTCACCGATGTGGGCGGGAGACACGGACAGGTCATGCTCCTGCTGCCCCAGAGAGTTTCGGAGGCCAAGCCTGTGTGGCCTTGGGGATCAGCAGGGACCTCAGTGTGGGAGCCAGCCAGCCCCTTCGTGTGAGGAAGCAGTCGGATGCAGCGGGGAGGGCCCCCCACCCGGGACTGCCCGAGGGAGGAGGGAGTGCACAGCTGAGCCGCCCCTGCCCCTGCAGGTGCGGGCGGCCGTTCGGAAAAAGTGGCACCGCTGGCAAGACCACCACTCATTGCGCGTCCCAGTGGCCCGGGCCATGTCCATCCCCACGTCGCCCACAAGGCTCAGCTTTCACAGCGTCAAGCAGACGGCCGCCGTGTGACCCTCCGGAGCCACCATCCTGTCACTCACATCCATCTCCAAGGGCGGGGCTTCCCCACGGGGCTTCCCCACCCAGGGGCTTCCCCACCCACCCCACCTACTTCTGGTTCTTGCTGTGCAGGTCCTGGCGAGGGGGGAGAAGGGAGGGGACCTGCATGCTCCACCCAGCAGGGGAGAGGCAGTGCCTTGGCCTGAGAGGGCACCCAGGGGCGCTGCAGGAAGTCTCCAGGCCGAAAGGAGCCAGGAGTGGCGAAGAAAGTCCCTGGGGCCTGGGGGCGGGGTGTGTGTGTGTGTGTCAGATCTGCCCATTAGACCCTCACCGTAGCCCCACTACAGAGGAGAAAACTGAGGCGTGGGAGGGGCAGGGTGCACAGCTAGTTAGTGTCAGCCCAGGGTGCTCAGCCCCTTCTGGCAACTGGGTGGGGGTTTGGCCCTTCTCCCTTGCTCAGGGGCGCCCTCTGCAGCTTAGGGCCCCAAGCCAGGCAGCCTGCTCCCCACTTCCCTGCCATCCTCTGGCACCCAGGTTGGCTGGGGCCTGGCTTCTTCCCACTGGGAGGTGTCTTTTCAGCCCAGTTCACAGACTGGAGGGGTTGGGGAGGAGGAGGCGAGGAAGATGTGGCCTGGGTAGACCACACTCAGGGCAACCAGAGACATGGATAAGGACCACCCAGGGGTTCGAGGAATGGGGGTGGGGAGTGGAGCTGGAGCTGTAGAAGCCCAGGTATGCCTCTGGTGATGGAACCAACGCCCCACCCCCGCCTGGACTTCCACTCCACCTGTCAAAGACATCATGTGTGAAATAAACCATGCCTCTGTGGAGATGCCTCGTCTTAGGTCTGGCTCCTGGGGACTGGTGTGGGTGAGGGTGGGCTGGACTTTGTGTGGAGTCTGAGGACTGTTTTGGTCCACTTCTTCTCTTCCTCCTCCCTCGGGCTTCTGCATGACCGGGCGGGGGTCGGCAGCCCCTCTGGTCTGCAGAGCCAGCCTTGGGCCTGGGGCTGGTTCTCCCACTCTGACCTGTGGGAGGTTTGGGGTCCTTGTGGCAGGAGTGCCTGCAGCCCCTGCCCCCCATCACTCCCCCAGGCTAATATCAGCCCACCTTTGGCCCCTTTAGTGTAACCCCCACACATGGATGGAGTCACACAGGTAGCGGCTCACTGCCCAGGGACGGACCAGAGGCCTACAGCATTCTGGAATCAGGGAGGCAGGCACAAGACCCTGTCCTGTGTCGGTGAACAATTCTGGGTGTACTTCCAGGCCTGTTTTCCATCCATCCTGGATTCGGGGGTCAGCCAGGGTTCACAAAGGCCTCTTGCTCTAGTCCCTCCTCCTATAATAATTTTTGAAAAACCACGGGTCTCACCTTGTACATTTTTTAAGGTGACATCTCTTTTTTTAACCGTAAATCTTAACTTGCAAAGGATGTAATTTCTGGCATTTGGCAAATATTTACATTTTTAAAATAAATCTGCCACAACACTTTAAAATACATCAAATGGAATCTAAACACGGTAGTGATTGAATAGCCACCCTCGTCTATTAAAAAAGAAAGAAAGAGAAAGCTCTGCTCTAACAGCTGGGTTTTCTACATTGACCCCTTTCTCTTTGAACTTACATTTGCATGCCAGCTCCTCTGCTGAGCTTTATACTCACGTAGGTGTGTGTGTGTGTGTGTGTGTATGTGGGGGGTCTCCTGTGCTTTTCTTTTGCTCATCTTGTCACACTTCTCTGCCACAACTATGTTATTTTGAGATGAAAATATTTCATTTCCTGGTGCCAAAGTTTCCATGAATTGGTTTTTCGGTTTTGTTTTATCAAAAGTCTTACAGATGGAGTTATTGTTACAATTACTTTTTGATAATAAAATGCAGTAGCACTAGATTAAACCAAGATAGATAACTGAAAAAATTGTATCATTAGACTTTTTAAAAAAATCACTGTAAGCACATCTTAATGCAATGGATAGGGATTTAATCATTCATTAATTTGTGGATGTATATTTATTACTAGAATGAATCTGGCCTCATCATTTTGCTCAATATTTTATAGCCGTAAATCCCGAAGAGCCTTTTCAGGTAAATAAGTAGATGCTGGAATCATGGTGACAGGTTCTTGAGTGGTAGGGGTTGTGCTTGACCCGGTGATGTAGTGGGTTGTGCTGGGCTGCTCACTGTAAGGCCAGCGGTTTGAACCCACCAACCCTTCAAAGGAGACAGATCCAGCCTCCTGCTCCCAGAAAGATGGACAGTATGGCAAGCCCACAGCATCACTTGTCCCCTGTCCTCAAGGATGGCTGTGACTCAGAATCTTTTTTTCTTCTTCTTAAACCTAAGGGTCAGAGCAGTGTTTCCAAATGACTGAGGGAGGTGTGTAATAGGATATGCCTACATTTTACTCTGGATGCTGGGCTAGCGTATAAGCATTCTTCATGGCCAAAGAGCAGGGAGTCATTTTATTTTTCTCCTGAAAAGGGGACAGTAGGCCAAGTCCATTTGGGAAGCTATGGGTTACAGGTTCAAACCCACACAGGGTCCCATGGAAGAAAGGCCTGGGATTCTGCTTCCATGAGAATTCCATCCAATCACTGCCATCCAAGGGACTCCCACTCAGTGACCGGAGGGCAGAGTAGAACTGCTCCCCAGGGTGTCCAAGACTGTAGCTCTCTTTTTTTTAAATCATTTTATTGGGGGCTCCTACAACTCTTGTCACAATCCATACATACATACGTTGTGTCAAGCACATTTGTACATTTGTTGCCATCATCATTCTCAAAACATTTGCTTTCTACTTGAACCCTTGGTATCAGCTTCTCATCTTTCCCCGTCCCCCCTCCCTCATGAATCCTTGATAATTTATAAATTATTATTAGTTTGTCATATCTTACACCGTCCCACTGTAACTCTTAACAGGACGAGGCAGCCCGGTCTTTCTCCCTCGGAGCGGCTGGTGGGTTCGCACTGCCGACCTTCCAGTGAGCAACCCAATGGCTTAACCCACTGTACCACCAGGGCTTTGTAAGGATGTAAGTGGTAACACTTGCTCCAAAAACCTGATGGAGCAGTTCTAGCTCTAACGCATGGGGTTACCAGGAGACAGAATCCACGCACAGGCATTAGGCTTACAACATGGATGTTACAGCAACTTCACTTAATTCTCCGGACTTCTGATAGGTGAGCCAGAATTGACACATTGATAAATCAAATGGTTTATCTTGTCACTCGATCCACAAACAAACCAAACCCACTGCCATCACGTTGGTCCCAACTTGTAGGACGGAGTAGAACTGTCCCCGCAGCATTCCCAAGGCGGTCAGTCTTTATGGAAGCAGACTGCTGCGTCTTCTTGCATCTGGCTGGGTTTGAACCGCTGAACTTTCCCCATTAGCGGCTGAGTGTTTTAACCCCGATGCCCCTGGCACACCTCTTAATTGGCTAGGGAAAAGGCATTTTGAAAACCATCAGACTTGCAAAAGACTGACTACTGAGGTCATTAGCTCATTCCCTCCCTTGCCAGCAGTCCCGCCTGAAGGGTGTCTGTGCGGGGAGGTGCACCAGATCCAGCTGGGGTGAACCTAGTGTGTCTTATGCTGGGGAAGTATGCGAGTTCGGGGAGGGCGGGCATTGAGTGCCTCGACTTGGTGCTACCTCAGGACACAGGCTGACGAATGGTTTGGAAAGTCTCCCTGTGCCCGGCATCCTTCAGCCTCGTCTAGGGCTTGTGGATGGCGAGGAGCTGCAAACGACTGTTCTCAAGAGACCAATCCAGAAGAGATTGCGAGTTCATCGACTTGGGCAGTAGCACTCAGCAGCTACAAAGCCCTATGTCAGTCCAACACACACACGTTGTCAGCTTGTTATCCCTGGAGGGCCCGGGCTGAGCTCCTGTGGGGAGGCTGGCTGCCCATCATCCTCAAATTTACTCACCTTGTTCTGCAGGCCAAACAGAGTTCCTGCTTGCTCTCCAGATTTGAGGGGAAAAAACTGACTACCCCACCTGAGTGGTTTCCTGGTCCCGCCCCAACACTGAGGTCCCTCTTTGCCCAGTCTCCTCCAGTCCTCGAGTGATGGCCCCTGCTGAGCTCCAGCCTTGAGATGCCACCCTCCAGGCTGTCAGGCCATTTCTCTCAGTCTCCCTCCCACTTGTTAACCTGCCTGGGCACCTGTTACTCAAAGCCACACAAGGCCTCATTAGCCAGCGTCGGCTCCAGCACTGGCAGACCAGAGCTGAGCCAGCCTCCTTAGAGGAGAGACAATGGCCACCTTTCCCTAGTAGCAGACAGACAAAAAAAAAAAGTCTAGTACCGAGCCCAGAGAGAGCTCATGGACTGCAGCCGGCACCTGCCCTCAGCCCCATCTTCCAGCCCACACCCACGGTGGCCCCATCCAGGCAGGCTCGTGGGCACAAGACCCTCAGCTGCCCTTCTCCACTTCTCCGCCAGCCCCCTCCCACCTGCCCAGACCAGGGTCCCCTGGGCTGGTGCACACAGGAGAGTCAGACCGGAGAGGGCAGGCAGGCTCTGGCTGCGCCCACCTTCCTCAGCATCTTGGGTGCCTTGGGGGCAGGTGGGGAGGCCTACCCTAAGGCAAGTAGGTGAAGGGGCTGCCACAGGAGACATGGGTAATGAGACTGAAAGGGGCACAAGAAACTGTCCCTTTCACAATGTTGAGGCTATGGGGGGCATACGGGGCAGGGAGGGTCTATGAGGGTAAGACCACCCTTTCCTCGGGGGAGCTCAGAGGCAGGCACTGAGGAGGTGGCACTGAAGACACTGCCGGAAAGACTGTGGAGCACACCTGAGTTTCTCCATCAGAACCTGGCGGGCTGTTGGTTAGAATGGACTTTCGGGGCATTTCCAGGCTGGGAGTCACCCAGAATCTGCATTTTGAAGCAGGCCCCCACGTGATTCTGCCTGCAGTCTGTTGTGCAAGCTACATCTCTTGCCAATTCTCTCTCTCTCTCAAGTGGCCAGTCTGTCTCCAGGTAGCTGGGAGGGAAGCAGCGGCTGCTGGTAGGAAAGGAGGCAGGTTTAAAGCCTGTCCCTTCCTTCATCAGTGTGCTCAGCATAGGCTTTTCCCCTAAAGGGTCACAAACTCTCCTGAGGGGCTGCCCCAGGTAGATCCTTCATGGGCAGGAAGAATGGGCAGGGGATGAGCCGAGACCACTGTCCTCTGCTGATTTTCAGGCTAGGGGTTTCTCCCCAGCCCCCAACCCCCGCCCCCTGCACAGAACCATTGCACAGTGGCTCAGCCCCCACCCAGCAAGTCATGTCCCCCATGCAGGGCCAAGCTCAGCTAGCCCCTCAGCCAGGAAGCCTCACTGCCTGTGCACTCTGATGGGTCCACCGGATGCAGGGGTGGGGGGAGGATCTGCCAAAGTCTCCCCTAGACTCTGCCAGTCCTCCAATGCAGGGGGTTGCATTCCAGGGGTCCATGCTGGACTCTCCTCCACAGCCAGGCCCACCAGGGGCTCTGGTCTTTCTTGAGCAGGTTGTAGCTCAGTTGTAGCTCAGTGGTAGCAAGACAGGCCCACAGAGAAATCCCAATCACCTATGAGCTTTGCGTAGTCAGTTCATTCTCTGCACCCACCATGAAGGGTCCCTGGATACCAGCCCAGGGAGAGGGCACTCCCTCTCCTCTGCTTCATGTGCAGAAGTGACAAAAGATATTTTCCCAGACCCCCTGCAGGTGCCCACAGGTGCACCCAGTGACCCTCCATTCAAGGATGCAGCCTGGCCCCACCAGCGCCTTCAGGCATGGTGACACAGCCATGGCTTTCCCCAGGCACTTTAGGTTGTGCCTGGTGTCATCAATAGCACCTTG